AAGTATTATATATGTTCCTTAAAGGTGGAAGAAAATATAATATTGTTATCAAGATAAACTGCTACAAACTGTTCAATTTATTCCTTAAAAACTTTGTTCATCAACCGCTAAAAAGTAGCAGGTGTATTTATTAGTCTAAATGGCATAATCTTAAATTCATACAACCCTTGACTTGTAATAAAAGCTGTTTTTGCTTAATCTTCAACTTTCATCGCCACTTGCCAGTATCCACTAGCTAAATTTAAAGTAGAAAATACTTAGATCATCCAAATATATTTAACTATTTTTCTTTTATATTAGGACAATAGGTGAAGCCTAAGGTCTTTCAGATGGTTAGATAAGGTTGTGTTTTAGCATTCGATTAATTTTTTCCTTAATAAATTCTTGCTCTAAAAATACAACTTAATAAGCCCGTTGTTGTATTAGAAGAGGATTCTCTATTGGAATATAATGTTTCTTAATAGTAGTATAACTTAGTTATGATAAATCATTTGCGAATGCATTAGTATTAACATGTAAAAACTGTTGTAAGTCAATCTGTTATTTTTGATTCAAATGAGCGTACAAATTGATTTTTGCTAGTTCTTCTTCAGGAATATTTTGTAACAATTATCAACATTTCCATTTCTTTTAATATAATAAGAATATATCCTTAGTTTAGTCAAGCTGTTTATAGCATCAACATCTTTTTTTAGTGTCTTGCCAATGGTAATTCCATTTTGAATTATTAGGTGATTGATTCTCGAATTTTTGTTTAAGGCTCTCAAAATACTGTGACGAATAAGTTTATTATTGAATCAATACTTGTTTGGGGTTACTTTCAGCTAAGATGGGTTCTTCTTTATTATTTTCCAATATCATATAATGTCATTGTATAATCAATTTTCGTTCTCATTCTCATTATTCATAGAACTTGTAAGAATTAGTGTAGGTTATTGAAATTTGTCAAATTGAGATTTTCTTAGCAAGTCATAGAGATCTGATATTTCTTTTAGTTTCATTGAAAAATAAATTTCTGATAGTCCTAGTAAAGTCGTCTATGACATTTTGTTAACCAATCATTTCTAGCTACAATGTAATAATCATTAGATTCAGTTATATTAATATTGATGAGAAATTTTAAGTCACCAATTTGAATTAGAGCATTAGTGATCTTTTCTAATAGTTGTAAGTATTCACCTTGTATATTAATCATTGTGATTATTGATAAGCCTTCAATTTTTCTATTTAATTATTGCAAGAAACTTTTTGATATAATACTTCCAGCAGATTCTAAATCTAAAATTAAATAAATAGGTTTACTATCCATGAATACGTAATAATAAACAGCTTCTATAGCTTTAAGTGTATTGATTTAGTTTAAGAGGTTTAAATAATAACTGGTACTCTCACTCTCTGAAGGTATCCTTAATAGTTTAAAGACTGGTTGGATGAATTGAGAAAGGGATACTATTAGTCATAAAAATATTAGCAAAAGGAAATGTCATGAAAGGTTATTAAAAAAGAAGTGGTAGAAACGAATTTGAAGTATTATATGTAGAACTTCCTTGTGACAATGCAGCTTGTTGACCTGTTTGACAAATTGTGATTATCCATTATTGAAAGTTGATGTTGGTCTAGTTGGACATAAGTTTTCTAATGTCCAAACTGGCGGTAGTGTGAATAGAGTTTATTGAGTATTATATTACAATTTTTGGTCATGTTTACAAATAAAGCATTTGTTTTTATTCTAATAAGTATTATTTCTATTCTGTTAGAAGTTATTTCGATTGTTACCTTAACTATTTTATATTCTGCAGTTCTTGGCAATATATCCAGGTCAGTTGTTATAACATACTTGATCACTATTATTAGTACTATTTCTCTAATTGTTATTATTATATACCAGATGGTTATTATTATTAGTACGCAGATTAGTTATAGTAATGGTTAATAATTGTTTAAATTCCTTTATCAATTTTTTATTGTTTTTCTTAATCAACTGCTGCATATTGGAGGTTTTTTCTTATTCAGTTTCCTCATCATATTAGTTCAAGTAGGATTTACTGAGAGAATACTCTGAGAGAATACTATCTTTAGAAAGGACAGCTTCAACAACTTGAGCTCAATCAATTGCTTTATCTAAATCACGAGATACAACAGCAGCTACTGCAGTCAAAAACTCAGGTCAAAGTCCTTGCAAGAATTGCTTAATTTTCTCATCCTTCAGTGTATTATAATCAGGATCAAGTTTGAGGTATAATGATTTAATATTAGTGGCATAGTCCTCGACAGATTGTCTAGAATATTATTTGCATTGTCTAAGTGCAAAACGCCCTTATGTCTTCTGTGAGTTGTGCAATAATGTTTCAAGAAGTGATAAATAAAAGATTAGTGTTTATATTATCGATCACTAGAATTATCGTAATATTACAAATCTTTTTTATTCTTGGTTTTATTATACCAAGTAAGGGCTGATCTTTTTAGAAAAGAAGAAACTAACATGAGGCGTGGCTTATCAGAAATTTCATTTGCATTTTTAGTATAATTATATTTTTTCAACTATTTTTAAGGTCTTGATCTCCACCCTTAAAGGTTGATAAGACTACAAACTTAGCCTCTCATGATCCACCAAATTCAACAGTTTTGAAGATAGTTTGAAGACCTTTATCATTTGAAAGAAATTTTATTCATTTTGGTCTTTAGAATAAATTGCATCAAAGGGATCTTTATTATCATTGTCTGAGTTACAAATTTTTAGAGTCAGAACCAAAAGAAGGTGAAGAACTATCATAGTAGGAAGGGAAGTGACAGCTCTTCCATTTGTTAACCCTTTACTTTTAGACTTTTTATCTTAACCTTATAAACAACTGGTTTTGTATTTTAAAGAACAAAAGAGACTAGTATCCTTTTAGTCTGAAGTTGCTTCTTTTTCATTAGAAGATCCTATAAAGACTAGCTTAGGTAGTTTTTCTATTCCTCTATAAGAGCTAAAAGTTGATTCATTAAAACCTAAAATTTGTATACTAGTATCTTTTCTGCTAAAAGTAGTATTAGCGATTATAGTCTCTTCAGATGGGTAATTTCCTTGAAGAAAGTAAAGATTTTCTTTGGCTGATTTAGAAATATCACTACTTTTGAGAGTAGTTATTCTGTAAAATTCAGTTATTCTAGAAGGAGAAGAGTTACGACTTAAATTTATAAGTGATATATTGAGATAGGTAAGTAAATTGCTTTAAAATTTCTTATGAAAGGAATCAGTTTCAGTTTAGGCTTGAATATAATAGGTAACTGCTTGCTCAAAGGTTAGTATAGATATGTTCTTATATCTTAGGGTATTAAGTATCTATCTGTAGTATACTCCTTGTATGCTAGTGATTTCTACAGCATTTGCATTCTAGAAGGCTTCTAAAGTTTGCTAGTATATAATGATGCCTCTAAGACCTTTTGTGTCCACTCAAAGAAATTAAAGAAAGGTTGTAGAATTTCCTTAGAAGGTAAATTACAAGCAATACAAGATGGGTCGTCTGTTCAAGAAAAATTGCCAGTAGATTTTCTAAAGTTACGTTCTTGTATATTGTATATATCTGAATGGTTTCATTAGTATTTTATTAATTCTTTAAATTTATTCATAGAGTTTTCTTATAGTATTATGTAAATAAAGAAAGAGGTTCTGTTATTATCGCCAAATATTAACATGCAATCCTTGCGAATTGCTATAGTTAAAAAGGATGTATAAGTAGTGATTCTTTTAAGTTTACATAGTAAATCTCAATGTAGTTTAACCTAAGCTTTATTATCTATATGATGGATACTATCAATAATACTAGAAGTAAAACAGCTCAATTGATTTAGATTTATAATAATATGTTTATTTGTAATAAGAAATAATAAAGAAATAAAGAAATAAGAAAATAAGAGAATAAGAAAAAGATAAGAAACTAAAAGACTAAAGGTATTAAGCATGAGAGTTAGGCCAGGTACTTCTAAAAGTGCTACTAAATATATATCTAAAGCAAACTAAAAGGAAAACTAAAAGTGAATTAAAAGCGAACTAAAGTTTACATAATTTTATTGTTCACTATTTATATTAAATTTAATACATAGATGGATATAATAAATAAATTAAATATATCTAATATGTCTAGTATATTCATTATGTTAGATATATCAAATATATCTTATTTGTCAATTATATCTGATATGCTTGACATTTAGATCTGCAACATACTGTATCACATTTATCAATTTAATCCAGTTACAGTACTTATGATTATAGTAAATATAAAATTTTGTTGTACACATATGTTCTGGCCTATCCATTAACCTCAGACCTCAGAATCATTTTGACTGCACCTCTTAAATTTCTTCATTGCATCTAAATAACTTTAAAAAAAAGTCATTTTTTAGATAATGATTATTTTCCAAATCATGATTGTTATCATGACATTCTGCATTACAATCATAGATAAAATGTGTCTTTTGAATTCTATTTACAACTGTTAAAAGAAAGATTTTGCATCGAGAATCATCATTATGTTAAAGAATAAATAATGGACAATTAATTTAGTTTCATATACTTATGATTGATATTTTCTAACCAGTTAATATAAATAAACAGATAGTAATGATCATCATTGCTTTTATGCTTAAATATGGCCTTGATAATTGTATATCCTTTATCATAATTGTTTGCTTGAATTTTCATCACATTATTCTTATATAAATAGCATTTAACTTTAGAATAAGTATTATTTTATATGTAAGACACGTTTTCGTAGAAATTGCAAAATTTGTTAATTAGTGATGTGTGATATCTAAAACTGTTATAGGAAATCAAGTGGCTGATAGCGAAGATAGTGATGATGATAACAGTACAAAAAATATGCTGAATTTTCTTTCTTTCATTATTTTTTGATATCTTATATATTTTAATTTTAGAACCAATAGACCACCAATATCAGAATTATGGAGGATAAAAAAACATTAATAAAAGACAAAGAACTATCATTAATGAAAGTATGGATGATAACGATGCTGTTGTATCTTCTAGGAAGAAAGCAGGTAAAATTGTGGTTGTTGGCTTTAGGTCATTCATTAATTGGAAAATAATTTATCTCTGTGAATTCTAGGAACACCTAAGGCTTTTAAAGATATGACAACCATTTTCGAAGTTTGTCAATAGTTAGTTTTAGAAAGACCAGATATATTAATAATAGCAAACCAAATGCATGCAATGAATGTTTCGCTAGATTCATCTATCACTGCTATGGACCCTCAGACTGCTGTAGCGTCTAATAATATTTACGCAAATAAGGTATAATTTTTTGTAACATGTATTTATGATAAACATGGGCTATTGGCTTTATTTATACCTTTATTATATATAGGAGCTTGCCCGTTTATGGCACGAAAAGATTAAGTGCTTTTCCTTCAATGTAGAGATCCACCAGACAAAGCTATAGAAATCCTTATCACTAAAATATTTAAATATGAACTATATAGTGATGAAGCTGCGGAGGTCTTATGTCACTCAAAATGAGTTCTAACCAATTTTCGCAGTAAATTCAATAAGAACGTGGTATCATTAGTGCAGGATTTTATAAACAAATTTTCAAGAAATGGCTAACCATTAGCTCTGACAAGAACTAATATCGATGAATTTATAACTCAAGATGCCCTATGAAAATTTTTTTCAATATATTCCGATTTTTTTCTGAATATACAGAAAATATTCTGATTTTATTGGAAATTTTCCGATTACATTGCAAATAATATTTTAGTCAAAATTTAAAAATTTAATATAGTAATAAATTTTCTGGAAATATTCCGAATACATTTGAAATTACCTGATTTTATACTAAGATTGAAAGTGCTCCGATTATGCTTTAAAAAAACAATCCGATTATTCCAAATAAATTTGAAAATAATCCGATTTTATGTTCAGATTGAAATGCTCCAATTGTACTCTGAAAATTTATAATTTTAATTTTGAAATAATCCGATTTTTACCCAATAATTACCTAAATGTAAACCAATTTTCTCTATCAATTATAATATGCTTATTTGTTGAAAATTTATAATTTTATTTGAAATAATCTGACCTTTACCTAATAATTATCTAAATGTAATCTGATTTTCTCTATTAATTATAATATGCTTATTTGTTGCTACTTCAAGAAATCCTACATTACGATTAATAGCAGTTACATTAATAATACTTGTTTCACCAAAGTAACGAAAAAATAATATATGATTGCCTAATTTTTCAGGGGTTCTTATCTACTGTACAAAGGCAAGCATTGATAACTCATTATTATATTCATATACAAAATAGTATAAAATTTGACTATAAAACTCATGCTCTTCAAAATCAACAGGCGCTCTTGATAAATGTGCATTTTTGTCAACTAGAAGCTTTGCTTACATAATAATATTAAGATATTTATTAGTTAAATGTTTTTGAAAATGATATTATTTAAAAATTTTTCTTACAGCAATTGAATAGTTATTTCGAGCTACATCTCCTCCGCGATTAGCAAGTTTTGATCCAATTAACACACTAGATTTAGTTCGCAATTTTCCATATTTTTGAATATATTCAGTAATTAACTAAACAAAATTAATAATATTATTATCTAATTATATAAATATGAGCGTCAGGAATTTTTTTTAGTGTAACCCTCTGGTGGGATTGTAAGATCGTAACCTTGTGACCCTGCCATAGGGTTACATCCAAAAAAATTTCCTGATGAAATACTTACGCTTACATCATTCATTGTCAAATCTAATGCAGTTGCATAGTATTGCTTAACCTTTCGAACCTCCGCTTTTGTCATATTGTACTCTTGAAATAGTGAATGTAATTCTTCTTTAGTTGCTGAAAAACTAAAAGCACATTCTAGTGGTAAAATGCGAGGTTCTTTTTAAAAATATCGAAAATTTGCTAATTATATTTAGTATAGTATTGCAAATGTGCAAATTGTAGCCATATAGTTATCTGATTTGTAAGATTTGCATATGATTGCTGCTGGGAATGGACTAAAGGTATCAACATTCCACATAGTCTTTCCATGGGAAATTGCCAAGTAACCCATGGTGGTCCTGTTTCTTCAATTGATTTCATTATATGTAAAAGATAATGAAAGCTGACAAGAGCTGCTGGAAGTCGATTTGGATCTCTTTGATAGTACTCACTAAGTTATTTTAAATGAAATGTTAATATTTAATAAAAAAAAATAATAAGAAATTATATAACAAAGGACTTGCTTACTTCTCATAATAACAAATGAATCTAATAAAAAGTATATGAATTTCTTCAAGTTCTTGTCTAGAAATAACTGGTTCAAGACATAGCTGAGTTGCCCTAACAAAACTTGCCTACCCATCTATATGTCTATAAAATTTGAAATAAATGTAATAAATATTAAAAAAAGGTAAATTAAGTTAAAACAAAATACCTTATAGGTAAATAATCATAGAGGAGCGGAAGTGAATACAAAACTATCCAGTTATACCAATCTTCTGCTTTAAAAGCAGAATGATGTTTCTGAATATTAATAGGAGGTCTTTCAAATTCCATAGGCATTGTTTTTCAATTTTTTTCAATTATTTTTGTAATTTCGTTCCAGTTGTTAGATGAGATTTTATAATCAGTATTATTAAGTATTTCGTTAGTAAAGAACTTGCCAATAAAATGGCGAAACATATGCAGAGTAATATTCTCAAAAAGTGCATGCATAATGTTCACTGGAAATGATGCAAGAAAACTAATTGAACGTAATTCTAATAAAATACTACGACTATTTACACCTATTAAAAATATTACATTAATTAATATAATTAATATATAGTAATTACGTTATAATTATAGTATAGTACATAAAATTACCTCGTTCATGTTGTATTTTATTCCTAAGTCCTTTATTTTCCATTGCTTCAATATCTTGAAGATGGCTAGTATGAGAACGCATTGGTAAATTTTCTGGATCATAATTAATTCTATTATATCCTTGTGATGGCTGAAGTAAAAAATATATATGTCACGCTGTATCAGAATATATTCCATGTAAATAACAAAACCAGCATCCATATCGAGAATTATGACCAGAAAGACACATGACTTTGGATAAGGCAGGAATATCACTAGACTATGATAAGATATGGCTTCGCAACATAAATGTTTCTTTTGATACTGCATCATAACAAGTTACACCAGCTGAAAATTTT